ACCTAATGCAATCAATCATAGTCGCAAGCCTTCGTCTTCTTTTTGCAACCATTATCTTTTTTTGCTTAACAATCACATTGTCAATTTGAGCCATTGTGTTCTTAAGATTATTAAAACACCGAACATAATAATTGTGGGCTGAGTCGGCATCTCCCATGTATTTTAGAAAAGAACATTCATTTCCGCAATTAACTTTCTTCCAGTTCTGAAACCCCTTTACTGTGAATGTATCTGATCCAACTTTTCCAATTGGCTTCTTGGAAAATAAAAAACATGGCAGACAGTAAGCATGATTCGTATGAGGTGAATATTTTAGCCAAGTAAATTGCTTGAACCAGTTACTCTGAAATCGACGACGATGAGCTAATTCACTGAGTGGGTACTCTGCCAACACAGGTTGATATGGACCCTCTAAAATATAAAATCTCTGAGCTTCATCTTATTGATCAGCTGGCAGTTCCAATATTTGAACACGTTTACCAGGGTCTCTCTCAAATCTAGTAGCAACAACTGGTGGATGCTCAGCAACCTTGGCTTCGATTGGTTCAGCGGTAGCAGCAACATTACTCTGATTATTAGGATTTTGTACATGATCATTATGAGTTTCCCCTTCCAAATTAGGAGCTTCCACTTGCACGTTACTCTGACCGTCTCGGCTTGCAATGGCTTCAATACAATTAGCACTTGAACTAATCGGCTTAAAAAACTATTGATGGTCTTTCTCTTCTTCATATTGTCTAAAATTAGAAAGGGAAATTTAGAATCACTAGTGACTGTTAATTAGATAAGAGAATATCACTGGAGAAGAGAAAAGAACAGAACTCAACAGCGATAGATAAAAAGTTTAGAGAATAATCCATCCGCTTTTGAGACATTCAATTGGATTGGAAAGAAAATCACCTGTACATGCATCATGAAACACATCAACAAAAAATCCTCAAGATCTATAGCCTAGAAAAATGAAGATAGGAGAAAACAAGTTAGAGAATAACACAGAATCATCAAACGAACCACAGTCCACAGAGACGCAGCCATGCATGGCTCCATCATGGCATCATCCTTGTCCTTTTTGAATGACGACGGACGGCGGAACATGAAGTGACACGAACGGAGGGGCGACTGTCCATGCTACGTAATGGCCCTGTTCGGTTTACTCCATATTCGGCTTGTTCGGCTTCTTTTTTTAGCCGAAACAGTATTTTTCTCTCACAACAATTCAGCCGGAACAGTGTTTTTCAGCTAGTTTCAGCCAAGTTTGAGACAACGAACGGGGCCAATGATTCCAGAGTCGTAGTTTAGACTTCGGTAATTTTTAATTGGGCCAGACTGCCAAAGGGTGCTAGGCAGAGCCGCAGAGGCCCAGGCCACCGGGGGCCACTGCAGATGCCGCAGAGGATCAGGGGTGCCAGGAACCAGATGCGTACGACAGACAGGGTAGCGTCGACCGAACGAACTCTCGTTCGGGGCCGCTGGAGCAGGAGGCAACGGCACGGCAGCCTCGATCATGTTGTTCAGGAGTGCGGGCTGGGACTTCAGTATTCAAAGTTACCGTGCGCCTCCGTTCTAGACGAAAGCTAACCGAGAGAGTGGAGCAAGACGACAGCCGCTTGAATCTTGACAGAGTGGCATGAATGAATTGTTTTAATTTGTTTCTTCATTTGTTTTTATTTGAGAGAATGCATGTTGCAGTTGGGGTGCACCAGGAGGATTGCGGAATGTATGTACCACTACTACTACAACACTACTCCACTGAAGTCTGAACCTAATTCCCGAGTTTATCAAGTCTTTTCTCAAATACATCAAATTCAAGTCTACGACATCTTCACCTCGTAGCTTCATTCTTTCATGTCTATATCATAGTTTTAAGTGCACATCAATCAACGTGACATTTTATAGATAATAAACAAAATCCAGCTTCAACGAAACACCGATCCTTGACTATTATAAACACGACTTTAATTGAACCAAAAAGTATTCAATATTATATATTGACTAATACGAAACATAAAAGGCAATCCACGGGCCACGAAGAAATACATTAGTTCTTGACTATAGAAATCTGCCCACTTTAGAGTAGTCTCAATCCACAATTTATATGGGTAGTTTCTAAAGGAGGAGAAACACTATGAATAGAAACTATAGTTCCATTCCTTAGGTTCTTCTTGTGAGCTACAATCGAATCATGGTCAATCATTTTATTCCATCTCTGGGCATCTCTATCTCTCTCCGCTTAGCCTTCCACATATGGGATTGTTGTAGAATATTGGATAGATGGATCGTGATCGGTGATAAGTGGGTGGTCAGACAAGGAGGTGAGGAAATAAGATGGGTCAGTTGGGTCAACATCCCCGACCTGAGAAATCGGTCCCATCCGGCCATTGTGAGGTGAACCTCTTTCTTTCTATTGCAACCAACTAGAATCTAGATAAAACTACTACTTTTTAACTTCATCTCGGCTCCTAGAAACCCATGAAAATTAAAGTCATTTTTGGAGCCTTGTCAAACAAAACTGTCTTTGTTAATCTGCGGCCAACTGTTAGTACTAGTTAGTTAGGCATGCATACAATGATTTTGTTAATCTTAAATGTGGCTGGGTTAGGCTTCATCATAAATAAAGGATAAATTTAGACATGCATAATGCTAATGAATTATTATTATTGCTACGTCCTTCATTTGCTCCCGTAACTATTGTCTGCCCCGTTTGGTAAGTATTGCAGACGCACGGTTAGGGTAAACGTCTGCTTTTTTTCGCATTGCCATCTACCAGTCGCTTGCATGTTCTCATTTTCACCGAAGAAATTTCAGGGTTTTGAATGCATAATATACAATTATCCATGCTCCGCGGTCAAAAATCGCAAATATCTTAGTAGCAGATACAGTTGAACTGTGGCGTGGCGTCGTCGATCGAGCCGCTTCGCGGTCGCGGCTGGGGCGCGAGCGCGAGGTGACCGCACGGGCCGGCACGGCACGGCACGCTTCGGTCTGCTGCTCAGCTATCCTGCGGGCTCCGGCCTGTCCACCTGTATTTTAGGGGCCGCGGAGGGGCGTGGGGGCACGGCCACCCGCACAAGAAGCTGCGCTGCTAGCGCCCCCACGACCGCCGAGCGGAGCAAACAGCCAAAAAGGAAGAAGGAAAGGGGAGAGCAGTTAGCTTGAGCGCTCGCGCGACAGGGTCCAGTCCAGACTCCAGAGGGAATCGCCGGAGAATGGGGATGGGCAGGGCTCCGCGACGACGGGCGTCCCCAGCGGCGGCGGCTGTGCCTTCGCTGCTTCTCTTCGCCGTTCTGTTCGGTTAGTCAGGCGCTCTGCCTCCGCCGGGGCATCAGTCATAATCTGCTTTGCGCTGCGCATCTGGGCATCTCTGTTTTCTCCCGCGACTCTGCTTGCTGAATTCGTGCGTTCCTGGTTCTGTGAAGCGGGCCGGGCGGCGGCGTTCGGCGACCCGCAAGGCGCCGCCACGACGGAGCTGTACAAGCACGCGTCGTTCTTCGACCGCGACGGCGATGGCGTCGTCTCCTTCGAGGAGACGTACGGCGGTGAGCTCCTTGTCCCCACCCATTTACTTTGGCCACGTCCATGGTTCGCCTGTAATTCGTTTGGCCTCTCGTTGCATCGGCAGCGTTTCGGGCTCTCGGGTTTGGACTCGGCAAGTCCGGCGTCAGCGCTGCCTTCATCAATGGCGCCCTTGGCAGCAAGTGCAGACCTGTAAGAATCCCCAATCCTCCGCCTTTTTCATTATATTAATCTTTTACTGTATCGACCGAAGAGAATAATATGTTTAGCTGTTGACTTGCACAAAAGCCTTACTTCACTGAGAATAAAACATAGACCATGTAGCGGCTCCATGAAACTTCAGTAGTCATGAGAGTAGTATCACGCAAGCAACCGTGAGTCTGATAAGATGCAGGTCAAACCAACAAATTGTTAGTCTGGTCAAACCAACAAATTGTTAGTCTGATAAGATGCGGGTCAAACCAACAAATTGTTAGCCATAGGATCATCGGCTCAAATGATATGACCACTCATCAGTTTTGCCGACTATAGCTGAGCATAATCGAGTATGTCCGACTACACACTATGGTTAGAGACAGAAGAAGAGGGAGAATAGAGCATACACACAGTACAAGCACCAGCGTTGGCCGGGGTCCTATATAGGAGATGGCAAATCTGAACTCCATTTTTGAGTTGCAGTAGCAAACTGTATATACAACTCTATACATCTACAGCCTGTTCGGTTGACTGGTTCATATCGTTGCTGGTTTGTGAAGAAGTACTGCTGACTGATTTGTGTGAGAGAAAAATATTGTTCCGGCTGGAAATTTACGATCGTTTACGACAAGCCACAGCCAAACGAACAGGCCGCTAGTCCTAGTACAGCTCCCATGCTGCAACAGTGACTAGATAACACAGCAAGACTGAGTTCTGCGCCGGTCCCTGCATATGGCTACAGTCCAGCAGGTGGGCCGTTCGGCGCCTGCCTCTACAGCGGCTACAATACCACAGCAGGGGGCCTTTTCGACGCCGCCTTCTCTTACTGTGTGTTCACACAAAAAAACAGTAGATTATTTAACACAAATGCCTCAAGATTCTTGGGTAATCTTTTTTCGGAAATGTATTCTTGGGTAATCTTTTTTTGGAAAGGTATTTCTTGGGTAATTCCAGTTGCAGATTGTGACAGCACAGGCCTGTTGTTTGTTGGGTTGGTTAGCTGACAATTACACAAGATTTGCTGACTTGGGCAGTGTTCGGCTGGCATTAAAATGGCACTGTAGCATCTGAAAAGTACTGTAGCAGCAGGAGAATAGTCAGAGAAAAACACTGCTCCAGCTGGGAAAAAAAGAAGTCCAGCCAGCCAAAAGTGGCCAGCCGAACACACCGTTGATTAGCTGCCTGGCCACCTCCTACATGGAGACACCTATCTTACGGAGTCTTGTTTTGTACACTTATTAATTCGTTATTAGTAAAAGATATAAAAATCGGTGTTAAATCCTCTAGCACACATGCAGCAAAATGCAACGTCATCGAAGTTGGACATCTACGTAGAGGACATCTATAAGGGGAAACATGGAAGCGATTCAGGCTCATATGACGCAGAAGGAAGGTGGGTCATGGATTCAACTGACGGCCATCTCTGATTCCACTGCTGAACAAGAACAATAGCTGCATCGATTATCCTTCGCTGACACTGAAACTCTGCAGGTTTGTTCCTGAGAAGTTCGAAGAGATATTCGCCAAGCACGCAAAGACTGTCCCCGACGCCCTGACATCGGACGAGATCGACCAGCTGCTCGAAGCAAACAGAGAGCCCGGGGACTACAGCGGATGGTAATTAATTTCCCAGCCCAAAAATAACTGATCGTCACTGCTCCTACAACGTCAGTTCTCAATTCTCCGTTTTCTTTCTTCTGTTCTACTCTGTCCTTGTACAAATCAAAAGGGCTGGCGCAGAAGCGGAGTGGAAGATCCTGTACAGTCTCGGCAAGGACAAAGACGGTCTCCTCCGCAAGGACGTCGCAAGAAGCGTCTACGACGGGACGCTGTTCCACAGGCTCGCGCCCAACTGGAAATCTCCCGACAAGGAGAGACTAAGCGTGATCAGGGAGAACTGAACCGAGAGAGGACCGTGCCATCTGCGTTCTCTTGCATTGCTTATTGGTACAAGCAAATCCGAGTAAGATAAGGGCTCTGAGCTCTGAAGATGTTGTCAAGCAACATGTGTAGCGGTGTGAACAAGTGTTTTTTTTAGACAAAAGAAGGATTATATTAAATTTATATCTGAGTACGTCATCATTGTTACCAACACAATACAATAGCCCCGTTCGCTTCGCTGAAAAAAACAAGCTGAAACAATGTTTCTACTGATTTGTTGTGAGAGAAAAACACTGTTCCGACTGAAAAAATAAGCTGAAAAGTACGGATTATAAGACAAGCGAACAAGGCCAATATGTATACCCAGAAACTATTTCTTAATCTATAATTTTATATTGTATCCACGCTTTGTATAACTCTCAATCTCAATCCCAAATCAGTATGACAATTCGTATGGATGACCGCACGGACAAATACTTAACAAAAGGCTGAGAACAGATGTCCAATGAACGACGGACAACATTCCTGCGTGTTGCAGGCGGAGTTGATAAACTTCTTCCTTGTGTCTTCCTTCTTTCTTCTGCCACCGAATAAGGAAAACTGGCCTAAATCTTCCCAACTCAATAGTAGTAATTGGCTTGAGGGGGACTTATTCTCAGGGTCCTTTATCGTGGCCAACATCTTCAAGAGTATCCTATTTTTTTCTCCTAAAAACATATAGTTTTGCAACTTCTAAAAAGAAATTGGGAGGAAAAAAGAAGGTCATCTCCAAGAGTTTCTAATAATCTACTCCTAAAATGTAGAAGACAATTTTATATCAGGAATCCTCGACTACGTGCAAAGTTACTCGCGACGGGGGAGTATTTCCAAATTGTGAAAATTTTAGGAGCATGAATTAGAAGTTGTTGGAGAGGGGGTTTTCTCATCTTGCTAAAAATTAAGGATTAGAAAGGGAAATATGATACTTTTGGAGATGCTCTAACCACGACAAAACGAAGAAAAGACCGGAGAAAATTATTTCATGGCGGTAGCAGCATCTCCGCCTTGATGTCGCCTGAAACCTAAGTCTCCATGTCGTCATGCCGAGAAAGTTGCTGACGTCGTAGTTACCGCCCTCATCTTCGTCAGAGTTACCATGGAGAAATCAAATCCGCCCTATTCCTTCACCGTCATCGGGGACAAAGAGGAGACAAATCACCAATATAAAAAAAAGGATTGGCATGAAGAAACTCTTAGCATAAAGGTCTCAATGTACTAGAAAAAAATTATTAGAGAGGTAGATCTCTACTCCCTTCGGCCCTCGGCTAGTTGCCGGAAGGAAGGGAGGACCGGTGGCGGTGGATCAGGGGCGGCCGCCGCGACACCAGGCCTCAGCTGCACCCTATGGCATAGACGAGAGGGCAAGGCGCGTGCGTTTGAGGTCGGTGTGAACGGGTGGTGTGAACACTCTTTCAGACCACGTTATAAAACAGAAGGTGTGAACAGAATCTGTCGATAGGTCGATCAGACGATGAATACTTCCGTGTGCGTCTGTTTGTTTGTATCATGTGAGTACGATGGTTCTGTAATCTGCTGTAGTACATACTGTACACATGCAAGTGGCTGGCAATGGATTTGAATGCTTGACATTTCCTGTCCTGTCGGCTGTCGCTGTCTTATGATGGAAACCCGTTCAGTTCGCTGGATAGGCTTGCATTTGCAGCAATGCCGTGCTACGCATACGCATGCAGACAGATCTTCCCATCTGCTGCACAGCACAGTTCAGTCTCTTCTTCAGGCTCGTAATCATCCGTGATGCTGCGCTGTTAACTGCTGATTGCATTTGGTTGTAGTATTAGGCTATTAGCTGGCTGATCGCGTGCATCAAGGGAATATCAGCCCCTAAAATCCTAATCATGGTACAGAGCGGTGCTTCTACACAGCGCACTTGTTTAATCAGCGTGGCTGGTGGATTCTCTTCGGTCGATGCAGCTGATCGCTACTGACAAGAAATAAAATAGAGGTGAAAAAAATATTATCAGCTTGTTCGTTTGGTTGTATTTAGTTTATAAGTCATGGCTTATCAGTCAACGAATAGTATTTTTCTCTCACACCAAACCAGTCAACGATACTTTCAGTCATGGCTTATAAGCCAAACCAGCCCAAACGAACAGGATGTAATTTTCAAAACAGAGTTGGATTTTGAAATTCATTTGCGACAATGGGCCTTTCCAGGCAATCCAGGACTCATGTCGATTGTCGACCCCAGAATACCTGATTATGCACCTGCTCTTCTACTGTCCCTTTGCCAAGAAATGTTGGGGCCCGATGAACTTTCGCTTTGCTGATCACCTCTCAATTCAGCAAATCTTTCAAGCTTGGAAATCTCTGGTGAAGGTTGAGTTCTCCCTGGACATCTTCATTCTTCTCTGTTGGGCGATTTGGATGATAAAAAATGATGTCATATTTAGAAACAAAAACCCTTGCAAGATCGCAAAAGATATTGAAAAAATTGGTTTCATAGCATCCAAAGATGATAAGATTCGGAAAATACCACTCAAATATCACGGTCACGTAAAATACCACCGAAAAAACAAGCTGTTACCTGAAACTACCATTCTATCATGGTTTGAGCTAACGACGTGAATCCAACGTTGCTCCTCTCTTCTTCCCACGTGAGCACCAGTGGAAATCCCATCCCTTTCGTTTTCCTCGGCTCCGGCACAGGTCACACTAAAAAAACACTTGCACGAGCGGCCGTCGAGCCAATCCACACCACAAATTCCATGGTGGGTACCCCACTCGGTCAGCAGGGCAGCATGACATCTGCCCAAGGCTGTTTCTTTGCCTCGTTTCCATAGCGTCTTCTTCTAGTCCATGCTGCGCGGATTCAACTGCGGATTCAGGAGGCCTAAGCTTCGCCGGTGATTTTGCTCATGCTTGGCCGCCGCTGCTCGCGCCCAACCTACTCGAGCTGCCGCGCGCCTATGCGCGAGCAGCCCGCCGGGCCACCCTGCTCGAGCCGCTGCGCGTCGGAGCACGAGTAGCCGCTAGACCGCCCTGCTCGAGTTGTTGCACGCCTGTGCGCGAACCTCCACCGGGCCACGCTACTCGAGCCACTGCGCGTCCGCAAGCGAGACACCGCCGGCCGACCACGCGCATGAAGCGCTGCCGCAATGCACTGCTCGAGCTGTCGATATGCCCTCCTCGATGCGGACACCGCCGTCCCGCGCACGCCAACTGCTGCCGGTGCCGCCCTGCATCTTCCATGTCCGGCTCGAGTAGCTGGGAGTTGAATTTTTTTTGCCTTTATTAGATGGACGGGAATCGACGGTGTTGATGCTGTTACCTTCAAACCAGATGGAATGCTACTTTTGGATAACGATTCTATTTTTCAGTGGTATTTTTCGAATCTCGTGATCTTTCAATGCTATGAAACTAATTTTTCCTAGATTAATTCCAATTTATAACTCTTTTGGCCTTTCTTTCTTTCCTTTGCTGTCCCTTAATCCCCCACCTGTTTTCTTCTCCTTCTTTGACTTGTTTGTAACTTCACTTTGTATTTCTTTTTAATACATTTACAGCAGGAGCCTCTGGCTCCTCCTGATTTCAAAAAAAAACTGATTTGCTCAAAGTACAAAGCTCCATGTTTACGAGCAGTAGTATGTTAGGGAACAACGAACATACTCAACTGAACACCTAGGTAAAACGAAATCATATACCAGCCCACCGCAGATTAAAATCAACCTAGAGTGGGTGTGCAACTTTTCTGTTTTTACTGTTTTCCCTATTTTATTTTTTAGTAAAATTGTGCTTATTTTTATTTTTTAATAAAAAAACTCAGATCTTTTTTTCTTGATAGAGACCCTACCCTATGATGAACGAGAAACTCGAACTACATGTTTAGAGGTCTTGTTCTGTAGCACTACTTCAGCAGTATTTTTCAACGAACGAACAATATTTTTCTCTCATAATATTTCAGCATAAACCAAATTTCAGCGAAACGAACAGGGCTAAGGTGAATTATTTTCTACTTTTACACACTTTTAATTATTTTAAACTATTTAATAAGCATAAACCTAAATAAATCTATAACTCAGTCATAAATGATCTAATAAGCATGAAATTTTTACTTCATTTCAAACATACAATGATTAGTCTACCATAAAATTTCACCACAATAGGACCACAAAAACTGCATCTATGAATTAATCACTGAAAAGCATAGATCTAAAGTTAGAACAAAAAATTTATACTAAAGCATACCATATAAATCTACTCATGTGGATCCAACAAAATTAGAGTTTCTATTTTATAATTTTTCTATAATTTATTATGTTTTTTTAAAGATTTAGCTAAAATAAATATAAAAGAAAAAGAGAAAAACCACATAGTGGTACGACCAGGGAGGCCATATGTCTGGTTTGAAAAGATCGGGAGAAGTTATGTCCAGTTTTTTAGTTCAGAGAGAAAAAACTGACTTTTGCGATAGTTTGAGGCAAAGTAGACTTTTTTCATGAAAAAACTGCAGGGTTTTATTGAGCAGAATAAACATTTATTATTCTTCATAAGAAGCACATACGCCATCAGGCGGACATACAAACCAAACATGTCTTCCTAAATTAGTATAAACATAACTCCTAGCAAGATTACGAGCATGCACATTTGATCGTCTCCCTCAGAAATTCGAATCATTTTCTCGAGCCGTATGAGGAGAAAACCTCCTATACGTTTCTAGGGAGGGTTGTTTATCTACATCTATCCCAATAAGCTATCTATCGAATCGTTGCAATTGATGTTCGATCTCGAAGAGAAGACGAACTCGACAAATCTAAAATCATTCCATCTAACTTTAGTTTCCTGCACAATGTGCCCATAATCCTTGCGACAACTCCACCATTGCCACGTGCCTTGTCTGAAGTCCTCAAGTAGCAAATCGAAGCGCTAGCGAGAGCCCAGCCTTCTTTACATGATGTCGCAGATGCTGGGCCTTTTAACTAAAATACCGCGTCTAGCTAATCTGCCGAGAGCCCACGCAGCACCGGCCCATTCTGCCCATCTCAGACTAAGCTGCCACAGTGTAGCCCACTAAAACCAACTCACCAGTCATCACCACCACTACCCGCGCTGATGCTAAAACCTCTTGTGCTCTCATTCTCATCCGGTCATCCCAGCAGCTCGATTCGCTCGCCTAGTCGCCTTCTCGAATTCTCCCGCAAACTTGACGCTGAAGCCTGAACGAGAGAGAGCGCAAGCCGAGCAGGCCGGCGGACAAGCAAGCACATGGACATGGCCACGCGCGTCACGGCAGCAACCTTCCTCCCCGTCCTCTCGTTGCTGATCCGGCTGCGCACAGGCACCTGCGCCGACGACTACTCGGCGTTCGTGTACGCGGGGTGCTCGCAGGGCCGCTACAGCGCCGATTCCCAGTACGCGTCGGGGGTGGACTCCGTGCTCACCTCGGTCGCTAACAGCGCGCCGTACGCCCCCTACGACAACTTCACCGCGCCGACCGACTCGTCCGTGGTCGGCCTCTACCAGTGCCGCTCCGACCTCCCGGCCTCTGTCTGCAGCGGCTGCGTCCGCTCCGCCATCTCCAGGCTCTCCTCGCTCTGCGCCTGGGCGGTCGGCGGCACGGTGCAGCTGCGGGCCTGCTTCGTGCGCTACGGGAACGACTCGTTCCTGGGGAAGCAGGACACGGCGGTGCTGTTCAAGAAGTGCGGCGGCACGCCCGGGGACACCGGCGGGGTGGCCATGAGAGACTCGGCGCTCGGCGCGCTGGTGGCCGCGGCGGCTCCGGCGGGCGGAGGGTACCGCGCCGGAGGGTCCGGCGCCGTGCAGGCCATGTCGCAGTGCGTGGGGGACCTCGGCGCCAAGTCCTGCTCCGACTGCGTCTCGGCCGCGGCCGCACAGCTCAAGGCCGGGTGCGGTTACGCCACGGCCGGCGAGGTCTACCTCGGCAAATGCTACGCGCGCTTCTGGGCCAACGGCAGCGGAGGTTTCAGCAGCAGCGCCGGTCGGCATGGATTTGATCTAGTCCACGTGGTCGCCGCCGGTTTCTTCGCTTCCTTGGCTTACGTCTCACTTGCCATATAGGTATTGTTGCACCGTACCGTGATGTTGAAGACTGGAACAGTAGCTATGTTGTATCTTGGGGTAGATCAGAATTTGCTTCTGCTTTGGCTATCAAGAAGACAAGAAGTTTGGCAAGATGGTCTCTCTTAGATAGTAAGATTGTCACTGATGTAGGGTGACACCATGAGGCGCCCAAATCATCTTGCTTGTCATTAATCACATCCAAAACTGAAGCAGAGTCTGAAAACATTCAGATACTGGTAACGTGATTATACTTGCATTGCGACTACCCCACGAAGCAGAGTCTGAAAACATCCATAAGGCCTTGTTTGGATGTTGTCGGATTTACTTCAATTCACATGTGTTGTGGTGGATTGGGGTGGAATTTAGTTCAAGCTCCACTCTAATCCATCCCAACACATGTAGATTGATGTGAATCCGACTACATCCAAACAAGGCCTAAGTGGATAGAGAAAGCATATTATGTGCATTTGTTTACATAATCCAGTAGTGCCAATAATTTGATTTTGAGGGCAAGGCCATACTGATCCTGGTCTCAGCGGCTCATCATGCATGCTGTGTTCAAAGTCACTATGTGACAGCAGGCACAACACAAGTGATGAAAAGGGCTAGTTTTGCCTGCCTTTATCTTTGCTCGGAGCTTTGTTTTTTCTGTAGCTTTTGATGTGGACTCACTTTTTTGTCCAGCTGAGTTTTAGTATATCTGAGAGTGGATTCAAATGATCAGCTTTTGCGCGATTAGAATTTTGAAATGAAGGGATATCTCTGTGGCCTCCGCTGTACGATAGCAGCGTGTTGATTGCTTTTTGTAAGCTTTTGCTAGCAGTAGCAGCATTGGGCCTCTTTCACTAATTACTAGGCTTGCTTGATGCTACTTTGGAAAAGGTTAGTGTTAACTACACTATATGTCATCATGATTTAAGTCACATATTTCTCTGTCACTTCGGTTCATATTTCGAAAGTAGTGGTGAATTGGTGAGTACTCGCCATCATCAGCAGTCTCAGGGCGGCAGTAGTAGCTCCATCTACTACCTGAATCGCCTCCTTCAGAACCAGAAGAGCTGGTCTGCCAGTGGACCTTCTCTGAATTGTGAAGTACGTACTTACAATTTCCTGCAGATCATTGTACTCCTGCACCGTTCTGGTCTCTGGTTTGCAGGAGTGCAGAGTGAGCTCGACCTTAGCTACTTTGAAATGCTGCACATAAAGGCTGTGGTTGCAAGATTTAGTGCGGCAGTTAGCTATGATTGGATCAACCGGGCAGTGGCTTTTGCTCGGACGCCGCCTTTGCTTTGCCTGTCGACTGTCGACTGTCGTTGCTGCTATCATTCTGGCCTCCTTTTAGGTTTCGTAAATGGTCAAAAGAAGGAGCACCAGCGACGTGCTTCGCCGCCTCGCTGGGACAAGCTAAAAGATTGCACTCCCCCAGTGCTTGTTGCCAAGCTTCCATACTGACAACCTAGCAAAACTTCGTGGGGCAGTGGATAGTGGGCCGGGCCAAGTATGATGGTGTTAGGCCCTGCTTCGTGGGAAGGCCTTCATATGCAACTGCGAGAGACAAATCATCACGGCCCCCCCCCCCGGTCACGGTTCCAAAAAAATAAAACATCACGGGGCGCCACATCCCTTTATTATTTGGTCAATTTTAGGGGGTGTAAAACCAGTGCATACACCACCACTTAGGAAATTGCATATACCCTCTAAAGTTTATGTTTTCCTATGGCTATTATCGAAAAACTATATCTTGATAAAAGATAATGTAGGACATATGTTGGCTGCCTTGTCTTTATGGCCTCATCAAGCAAGGACATGGAGGATGATGCTAGTTTGGATATCTAGCTAGAGTACCTCGGGGCTTGTCCTAGCCATTTTTTCCTTGCCAAAGCAAAACTGCAAGAGCGTGGAAATGGTTTGTCTGGTCTGGCAAGCTAAAGCTTACTCAGGAGAGCAAGGTGAGGCAAGCTAGTTAAAAGAACCAAACATGACCATAGTTGGACGGCAGTCTCTTGCTAAAACAAATGTTGTGATCCACCTATGATGCTTTTGAGCAAGTCCATTTGGTTGCGTGGTGGCAAAACAAACGTGGTTACAACTAGGTCATGTGTTTACACTAAACGGAGTCGATAACTTTGAAGCTATTGCTAAATGTTGGTTGAGGGAGAGAAAACATCTTGTGTTGACTGTGCAGTGCCGATGCAACGTGGAGCTTGTGGAAACTTAGAAACCCTTTTAGGTTTTTATAATGTCAAGTGGTGAGGTATACGCAAATGTTGTGATCCACCTATGATGCTTAAAAATCGAGAATTAAGAGCACCATCAATACAGACATACACACAATCTACAACCTAATAAAAAGGTATGATACGGGTCGGAATGGATGCATTGAAAGCAAATATCTTCCCAACGCATATATAGTAGTGCATCTGCCATTTTTTTTCTTGGCTCCACCACTCCGTGCTCTGTCATCCTATGACCGAGTCACTTATTAGCCACCTTACCCACCATGTTGCCTCAAGAAAACATGTGCTGAGCCACAACACATAGCTCCATGGATGCTTCTGCAATTTGTGAGGTAAGGCATCGGCTCCTTCTACAAGCTACTTTGACGGCATGTTTAGGCAGTATTCTCGATGATAGATTTTAAGGTTTATAACACTAATTTTTTATCCTGAGAGGGATCTCACCGCTCCGCATGGAACTCAAAAAACAAAATCACGCGGCGCCATCACCAACAGTCCAACATTAAGCCCGGTCCAAACAGGAATGTGGTAGCAAACATTAAACTGCCAACCATCGTCTTGCGAAGAAGGGATAACCACAATGTTAATATCGTGCCATATGGTTGGGCAGCGTTTTGTTACTGTATTTGCGATCACGTTCGTCAAAGCAGACCGTGGTATATGTACACTGTAGCTGACTTCCTGTAACCACAACTTCGTCCAAAAGACCAAATTAACGCAAGGAGTTTCTTATCTCTTATAGTATCGATATCGATGGGAAAAAAAAACTACAAGCTGGTACGGTAGTGTCTCGATCCAAACCTTTTTTTTGTGTGTGAAACTGCGTCTCGATCCAAACCTTAGCAGCGAAGAAAACCTCCCTTATTCTTTCCTTCGCCTGCTCATTTCCACGAGTTAAGCTTCCTCTCAAACGAAAGGAACAACAAAACTTCATTTTCTATGTGATCTGGATTCAGATTGTTCAACGGAAACCTCCTCACGTCGTGAGAGCGCGAGCTCTGACCGGAGATCAGACCCGTCCACGAGGATTTGACGTGCCCACCTGTATATATGGCCATGTAGCCTGAGCCCGTCCGGCCCGCCCAAGGCTCGTTTTTTTGCCCGGCCCAAGCACGGCCTGGCCCGGCGGCGAGCGGGTCCGGGCTGGCATGGCCCAGAGGAGCAGGCCGTGCCTGGGCCTTACCCCAGGCACGTGGGCCGGCACGGCATGGCCCGTTCCTTAACGGTAGGTCCACTGGCGGTCCAGCCTGCCACCGACCCCCTCCTCCCCGTAGGCCGCAGCCCCACGCCCCCGCTCGAGTATATAAGCGAGGAGCGTCGGCTGAGCCGCTCACTCGCTCCCAACCCTAACCCAAATCCCCACTCTCTCTCGCTCACCACGACGCGTCTCTGCTCTCTCGCCCGCATCCACGATCCACCAGTGGCGAATGTGAGCTCTCTATCGTCCGTCGTCCCCGACTCCGGTGACCTCGATCCGCCTGTCTGACCCTATCTCCACTCTCCTCCCTTCTCCCTCTCTCCTCTTGACCTCTCGTTCTCGGTGAACTATGTGAGTTCGTGACCGTGTTCCCATCTGCCCCTCCTCTGTCGTTCGTTGTCGTTTCAAATTGGTCTCTCCTCTAGGTGGCCCTCGTCATCTCCGGCACCGAGCTCCGGTTGCGCAGGTAGTCCACGAACCCGAACCCTAACCCTAACCCTAGATCTGTCTTCTTGTGTCTCTGAGACTGAGTGACTGGCCCTGGATCTAGATCTCTATCTCTCTGTTTTCTCCTCCACGCAGGTCGGTTGCCGATGCCTCGTCCTCTTCCTGTGGCATAGACCGGGCATGGCGGCCGCGCGCACCGTTGAGGAACAGTGCTGGAGATCAGCCGTCCGCGGTCAAGGTCGCCATGGCGGATGACGACGATGTCGTCTATCCACTCACCGACAACAATGACCTGATCGCGGCAGGGCCGGTCCCCGAGGACGACGACGACGACATCCGTGACGCTGCTGCTGCGTCTGTATCTGTATGATTCTGTGAATGAAATGAAAGTATGAAACTGTGAATGTATTGGATTTTGATTCTGTGAATGCAAGGATAAAAGGTTGTGAGCTGGCACGGCACGAAAAACGGCCCATAGTGCCGTGCCTGGGCCGAAGGCCAGGCCAATGGCCCTAAGAGGCATGGCCCGGAAGGCCCACGCGTGCCGTGCCGGCCCGACCCCATCGGGCCGTGCTTTCCCGGGCCCGGGCCAGCCCGTTGGGCATCTATGCCCACCTGCGCATCCAGCCCTTCCCGTACACCCATGACTCAGCCACCGCGTTCCTCGAACGTGTCGTCCGTGTAACACCCTACCAAACTGCCTAAGCTGCGTCCACAAGAGCCACGCCTAGTCTCCCCTCTAATCCGCAGCCTTAGGCCCATAGACCCATCCCACGCAACACCTCAGCGATCCACCGCCCTCCTCTCCGCTCCCCTCGCTAAAGCCGCAAGCCGAAATCCCTCCCTCACATCGCACGACGCGCACCCGATCCCCAAATCTCCCCCACCCGCTCGACCCAGATCGAGGACTCGATTCGTCGGCCATGGCGCTGGAGTGGGTGGTGCTGGGCTACGCGGCGGGCGCGGAGGCGATCATGCTGCTGCTGCTGACGCTGCCGGGGCTCGACGGCCTGCGCCGGGGCATGATCTCCGTGGTGCGGAGCGCGCTCAAGCCCATGATGTCGGTGGTGCCCTTCTGCCTCTTCCTGCTCATGGACATCTACTGGAAGTACGAGACTCGCCCCACCTGCGACGACGAGCACGCCTGCACCCCCTCCGAGCACCTCCGCCACCAAAAGTCCATCATGAAGTCGCAGCGGAACGCGCTCCTCATCGCCGCCGCGCTGCTCCTCTACTGGATCCTCTTCTCCGTCACCCAGATCGTCGTCAGGCTCGAGCAGATGCAGCAGCGCGTCGACAAGCTCAAGAAGCGCGACGACTGATGATGGGGCCGGATCACAGTTTCATCGCGTCCTCCTATCCGCATCCATCCATCCGGTGGTCTGGTTCTTCCCCTGCCTTGTGTTTCTGGTTTATGTTGTAGTGCGGATGTTTTGGATATCGATCGTGATTTGAGACCTGCTGGTAGAATCTGCTTCCTTTGTCTTGCTGTCTTCAGATAAAAAGAACAACGGTCTAGGAAATGATGATATGTGTTTGGACAAATGGAATCGTAATTGGCGTTTATTCCCATGAGTTGGTTGGTGTTCATTTGTTGGCACTCAATATATACTGTGAGATATCGGTCTAGTTGCCTTCATTGAGATATTTGTTAATAGCTAAGCTACTACTGCTGTTTTTATCATGTCATTGGGCTCATGTTGTAGTGAGCTAGTTCTTGTTCATAATAAGCTGACATTTGAGGCCAGATTTTATATCCTTTATCTAAAAATGAGCTCCAAATTGAAACCTAGTCATGTAGCTGTTCTATATTCTAGACTGGGATACTTATCTAGTGATCAGGTGACTTGAATGGATAGTTGTGTTGCTGTTCTCTCTTCTAGACCTGAATGCTTGTATAGGTGATTCAGGTCACCTGAATGTATAGTTGTGTTGCTGTTCTTTGTTCGAGTCTCGGATGTTTATTTAGGTTATCAGTGACCTGAATGGATTTATCTGAGCATGCCACAAATCCGCAACTTGGTCAGGAGGAAGAAGAGAAGGGGAAGAAGGTGGTGGGAGGGTTGGGTTAGAGGAGTGTTGGGCTATTGAGGGATAGCTGTGGCGGCAGCTAGCCCAATGGTGGTGAGGATGTAGTTGTTAGGAGGCTACGCTGACAAGCACAACTTAAGTTCCCCGTTGTTCCTTGGTTTAGTGTTGCAAAGAGTTTGTATGGAGGTGCAAGAATTGGATGCTTCCAGTGGAGGTGCAAAAATTTAATGTTCTCCGTTTTCACTGTCCTATCATTTCTTCACAGTCCTATCATTCGTGTCTTTGCATCACAATTTGATCAGTTATTTGTCTGAGAACATGATATATAGACTGCTAAATAAAATGCTATGGTTATCCAGGGGCTAAAGTTTAGTACGTGTCGATACTAACTAGGAGGGCTAAACATGAGCTAAGTATAAAACTAATTGCACATGATTAGACTAATTAGCGAGATTAATCTATTAAGCATAATTAATCCATGATTAACATATGTTTACTGTAGCACCACGTTGTTAAATCATGGACTAATTAGTCTTAATAGATTTATCTCGTAAATTAGTCTTAAAGTGTGCAATTAGTTTTGTAATTAGTCTCTATATTTAATACTCTAAATTAGTGTCTAAACTTCTGATGTAACTGAGACTAAATTTTAGTCCGTGGAACCAAACACCCCAAGTCTTACGCAGCAAGTCTGATATCTTATGGTGCCGTTCGGATGGTGCAAAAATTGCACTGTTCACGGCTGAAAGTTATGGTTTACGGCTGATTTTCTCTCACAATTTCCTCCAGAGCCCCCGTTCGCTCGGAGGAATCTGGATGAATCTGAAGAAATGAATCATCCGTGAACAGTGAAATTCCTCTATAAACAGTGATTCCTCCGTACCAGCCGAACGAGGCCTTGAGAGATCGTATGATCTTTCCCCCATTGCTGCCTGGAAGCATATGGCTTGGGCTTTAGGGTGAGAGATCGTATGATCTTTCCCCCATTGCTGCCTGGAAGCATATGGCTTGGGGTTTAGGGTTTCCCAGTATACTACCTTCCTTGTGGCATGTATCTTATTTTTTTTCGCGTGTTGGCATTCTGTTGGCTGGAGACCGTTCAGTTTTGCCCCGAAGAAGTTAAACGTGGATCTGAATGTTGCGGCACATCGCGGATCATATCTGAATGTTGTGGCATATCGCGGATCATATCTGAATGTTGCTGCAATAAACTTGAGGGTTCTGTGTATACCATTAAAAAAGATGGTCCTTATCTATAGGACACTAAAAAGTTCGAAAGCGCACTTAGGTGTCATTCATCTAAACTCTTTTGTCGCTCAAGCCGTCCGTTCATTTTTATCTCTAACGGTGGAAAAAGTCTAAAATGCCCTCTGGTTTTAACATACAAAAGTTCGTCTTCCTCGGGTGCCACTCCACTGAGCCAAGACGTCTCGTCGCTGCCGCTGGGTGCTAATGCTGACTTCCTTGAACCAGAACTCCAACCCAGCCTGCTTGGCGTGCCTCTTGAGCCGCTGATCCGTGGCCGCGAGCGCCTGCGTTAGAGCCGGTGTAAACGACGACGTGGGGTCAGCGACGCCGTGACCTTGAGACGTGTCACCAGCCTCTGTTCCGCTTCTCCGCGCGCGGGTTCGCGGCAATCTTAAGGACCGCGAGGTGAGAGCGGTCGTGGCTGCGTGGTTGTCGCCAGCGACGGCGGCGGCGGCCATGTACAGCAGCTCCCGCCGCGACGCAGAGTTGGTGACCGTGGAGCCGCATGCACTCCCCGTCGCCTCTGTTTGAAATAATATGAATTTAATTAGTTTTAAGTACGTCTTGCATATAGGATAGATGATGTATTAGTCACATGCATGTAGATTAGGCTTGTTAGCTTGTGCTAGTTTGAGTACGGCGAGAGCCGAGAAGCTAGCATCTGCATAGACCACGACGTAGAAGGCGGAGTGGCTTGTGGTCAGCTGGTGGTGTGCGTGTCTTGAGACCCGGGAAGTTGTTGCTTGCCGTGAAGTTTCAGCTTCGCAACCGTGGCGTTTCCATGTACGAGTGTACGACATGGTGGTGAGCGAGGACAGCGTCGTCGACGGCTGCGACAAGAGCCCGATGAAGGCAGTCCGGAGGAACCCGACGCCCGCGAGATGGCGGTGATAGAGTAACAGGATCAACAGGTCTAGCGGGTCTAACTGATATTTGGGATATGATAAAACCCTAGAATATAAACTAGTGCTATGAAAGAGAGAGATGCTGTGTAGCAAACCATCGATCGCTTTGGAGGAAGACGAACTGGTCATCGCGTCGGTGTCGGTGATGCGGTAGAGGCACGATCGCACGGCAGCAGTGCAGAGGCGGTGGTGGCAGCTTTCCGTCGCTGGCAACGCCGCCTCTCTAGATCGGCTTTGGGTTTATAGGTGGGGCGTCTGACGGCTTAGGTAAACCTCGTGCCTTGTGCTTCGGCCTCCATCTTCCTTTTTATGGCGCTATGCGACGGGGGTCCACCAACCATAGCTAGGGTTGGGCGCCCCCGATCAGGGCGCGGATCAAGGCCCATTGGCCGTTAGGCCAACTGGTGGAATCAATCTAACATTCTCCCACTTGATCTCACCTTATGACTTAAACTTAACTAATTTTATCTTGTTCCCATTCCATCACAGATCAGTGCATAGAACGTGCCTCATCGTCACAGTTAGTTGCTATTAAATTAAACAGCTACAATGTATCTCTCTGTTTTGAAACAGATTCTCAACTAGGTCTTTATTGTCCAGAAATCATAGGCTTTCCCTTAAACCCATGCCGGCTAAGTGTTCTCTGAACACGTTGGGTGGTAAGCCTTTTGTAAGCGGATCCGTGAGCATCTTTTCTCTTCTTATATGCTCAAGACTAATTATACGATCTCAGACTTTATCTTTCACAACATAATACTTTATGTCAATGTGTTTAGCAGCACCACTTAACTTATTGTTTTGAGCATAACATACTGTTGGATTATTATCGCAGTATAACTGGAGTGGCTTATGTATGTCGTCTACCACTTTTAACCCGTGCATGAATTTCTTCAGCCAATTTATCTGCCCTGTGGCCTCATAACATTCTACAAACTCGGCATATATTGTGGACAATGTAGTGACAATTTGCTTTGAGCTTTTCCACAATATAGCTCCTTCTGCGAGAGTGAATATGTATCATGACGTGGACTTTCTGTCATCTCCCGCATAATCAGAATCTGTATACCTGTCTATGTGCAGGGTATCAGATCTTCTATACGTTAGCATGAGACCCTTCGTACCTTGCAGGTAACGCAAAACTTTCTTTACTTTCCAGTGTTCTATTCCTGAATTACTCTGATATCTGCAAAGTAACCGGGTAACAAATGCTAAATCAGGACGAGTACACACTTGAGCATACTGTAAACTTTCGACAACTGAACTATATAGAACCGCTTTGATTTGATCGATCTCATATTGGTTCCTACAAGATTGAAATTCTCCACTTCTATTGCTCTTGACTATGAGAGCAGGTGAAGACTTACCATTTTGCATATTATATTTCTTTAGAACTTTTTCTAAGTATGTCATTTGTGATAATCCTAAAACCCCATTTTCTCTATCTCAGTGAATATCTATTCCTAGGACGAACGAAGCTTGACCGAGATCCTTCATATCAAACTTCGAGGACACGAACTTTTTTGTTTCTAGTAGTAGATTAACATCACTGCTAGCGATCAAGATGTCATCCACATACAAGACTAGGAAAATATATTTTCTATTCTTGAACTTTGCATAAACGCAATTGTCCTTTATATTTTCTTAAAACCCAAACATTTTTATTGTACTATCAAACTTCAAATACCACAGTCTTGGAGCTTATTTTAATCCGTAAATGGATTTCTTCAGGCGGCATCCCATACATTTTTTCCTTCCACAACAAAACCTTTCGGTTGTGCCATGTAAACATTTTCTCCAGATCCCCGTTTAGGAACGTCGTCTTTATATCTATCTGATGTAATTCTAAATTGTAATGTGCTACAAGCGCCATTACGATTATAAAAAAAATCCTTACATAAGACTGGAGAAAATATCTCATTATAATCTATACCTTCTCTTTGCCTGAAGCCTTTCGCCATAAGTCGCACTTTGAATCTTTCTATATTCCTTTTGGAGTCATGTTTGGTTTTGTAGACCCATTTACAGCCTACTGTCTTGGTTCTTTTAGGAATTATTTCTAAGTCTCAAACACTTTCATTTCATCTTCCATGGCTTCAAGCCACTTTGATGAGTGAGCGCTTCTCATGGCTTCTTCAAAT